GTAATGATAGTTCGTTAAATAGTCTTGATTTTAACTCTTTTCTTTTAAATGATGATTTTAACAAAGGTGAATAAAAACTTCATTATTAATTAATTGGAAATCACTATCCATTAATTATTACTAACGATACTTATTTGATTGATTAATAAACACTAGATTCTAGTAATTAAGAGAAAGAATCGATGGGTGACTAATTTAATCTCCGTTATAAATTTATTATTTATCTTTTTATTTTTTTTATTTTATTTCTTAAAGCTAAATCATAATAATATTTTGAAATAATAAACTTTTTACAGTTTCTGATTCTTGTTAAATGTTAAATGGTAATATTGCCGTTTACAGTTTAATTTTTGGACTACTCTTGTCAGTTAATTGCAAGCAACTCATAATAATTCGGTGCTTGTCAATTAACTAGTCTACGAATTTACTTTGGTTCTCGCTTGTTGCCTCTTTCTTGTTTGTAAGCACACTTAGTAGTGCCGGATAACTAACTCTAAATGAATAAAACGACTTTTTTACAAAGCTCAAAGGCTTCTATAAAGTTCCTTTTATTCGCTTGTGACCAATTTATTTCAGTTTATCTGTCGATTTGGTTTATTTACAAACATTTAGGCAGCTTGTTAACGGCCTTGCGTTTACTATTACAATAACACTACTGGTAACCTTTGGACAATACTTCACTAACACCCACTAGTTAACCAACGTTAGTACTAAACCCTTGTTTACCCACTAAGGCAAAAAACTTGGCTTTTTACCAAGACACTTATTCCACTTGTTGTTTTTATCAAAGTGCTTTAAACAATGATTTTGAGGGTTTTATTTTATTGGAATGTTAATTGTGCATTGATTTATTATTCAATTTCGTAGAAATGAAACCGAGTTTTATAAGTTGCGAAATTTTAAATTAAAAATAATAGAACTACTAATTTGTTTTTATCTTTATCTAGTTGGATATTAGATTTTTTTTAAAACACAAAAAGATCAAGAATTCTATTTTATATGAAAATAGAGAAATCGTATACAATAAGAGAGTTTTCGATAAAAGGAAACGAAAATATTTCTTTACATGGTAATTAAACAAATTATAAATTAATAAATAATAATAATAATAATAATAATAATAATAGTTAAATTCTTACCATAACGGATTTTTAAAATTTTTGCTTCACAAAAACATAAAATTTTTCTTATTATTATGTGTCTATCCGTTGTGACTATATCAAGAAATTCGTTATATTGAGAATTTTATTATTATTGTTGTTATTATTAAACCTCAATCTGTTATTATCCATTAAATCGAGGTACACTACATTGAGATTCACTGTATTTAATATGACATTAAGAAAAATTTAGGAATCCGGTTTGATTCGAATTGATTCGAATCGAGTCACTAATCAAATCAAATCGAATCGAATTGACTACAGAACGAATCGAATCACTTTAAAATTAGATTCGATTCGATTCGTTCGGAGCCTTATTGTGTATGATGTATTTGATTTTACTATAGTCACTTGGAAAGGATTTTTTTTAAATTTATAATTAATAGAATTAATTAGAAAAACTGTTACAGGCGCAAGATCTATTAAAGAAACACACAAAGTGTTTCATCATCATTTACACTTATGCAAGTTAATGATTTGTATACTAGTTATGTGTGATTTAATGATTCAATTGGTTACTAATAAATCAACATTACTAATTGATTGATAAGTTAATAAATAATAACAATTACATTTTCATCTCTTTCCATCTGAGGCAGCACTTATTCTTGGTGGACATATAGGTCTACCACGCAATTCAGATTATAGTTTGACTGGGCAATATTATTAAACTTTATTGAGAATATATATATTTGTGTATATATATTATTAATATATAAACATATTATTATTGTTGTCCCAAATATGTTTTAACTGTTTTAAATTCGTTTTGCTCTTCAAGTTCTTCTGCATACTAAAAAATAACAATAATAATAAAAATTAAATTGGTTAATTGTTATTTTCTCAAAAAAAACCCCCCTTTCTTGATAATTATATAATTAGATAATGATGCCCTTACACATTTAAATGCACCATCAACAAAGATTTGAGGATATTTTCCAGCTTTACTTTTTCTTTTCAAATATTTTAATGCTTCTTCATTTGATGATATATCAACAAGATGGTAAGTAATTTTATTAGCCTTTAATATATTCTCTACTAGGGCTTGATTACTTTGAGTCTAAATAAATAAATAATCAATTAATTAACAATAATTGGTGATATTTTGTTAATTAAAAAAAAAATTTGTACTTGTCTGTCTCCAGAAACACTTGAATAATACACTTCAATTTTTCCTGACATTATATTAATATGAAAATATTGTGCAAATAGGAATCACGTATGTGTTACTTGATAATCTAGGAAAAGATTAGGTTTCTGCACCTAATCTGGATATTTATTATGTTGATCAAATTTTCATGGAGTTCCTCTGATAAACGTGTAGTGCTGAAGATAGATGTAATATACAAGGGGCTTGGAGTATGTCGGTTTGCTTTATATGTTTTATCTATATGTTATACATCTATTATAATTATATTAGCCACAAATACTGATGATATCAACAGATTATTTAGTAATGAAATATACTTAGATATATAGTAAATAAAAACTTTTTATGTTTTATTTTTTATTACTATCACTGAAATATATTAATTTTAGAAGTAGAAGATATTAATTAAATAATATTATTGTCTCACAGTAAAAACAACAAGTACATCATCAACAACAAGAATGTTATTGCCAACAAGAGCATTACCATCAATCAAATAATGAATGTTTTATTCTGATAGCTGATAATTTTGTTTTTGATGAGTTGCAAGAAAAATTAAAGATAATTCTTATAGAAAATTTACACTTAGATTTTTGTATATATCTGTTTTCTGTTATCTATCTACTTTTAAAATTTTCTAGATTTAATAAATGCTGCTAAAAAATATTCATGGATCAATGGACCCAGAAAAGCTTTCCAAAAGAAACTCAAGAAAATATTATCAAATGGTCTAGAATTGCTAAAGTGAATTATAGATGTGTTCTTGTATCTTGATCTTGCACTATCAACTATTGAATTGGCCTACAACAATGCCAGACTCAGAAAGCCAACATAATTATAATTAACAGTATGTTTGAAAATAGTTAACATCTATTTTTTTTTTCTACATTTTCCAACTTTGTTGTTTTGGATCAATGATTCAATAATTCAACCACTTCCAGAAATCACACCTATCCAATATCAATCTATCTTCAACATTGTAGATATCTAGACTCTGATGAATATATTTGAAAAGGCAAAGTATTACACTGGGAAAAATTTATGAAGTTCAGGCTACTAAAAAAAATTTATTCAAAGTTAGGGAAATCTTGATGTGTATGAGCAATGCATAATTGTTAAAAAATATTCATAATAATGGTTTAATAAAACAAAACTACACATAGTTAAAAGATTAAAAGAATAATGAGAACATAGAACTTTATTAAAAATATGTGCTGCTCTTCTTCTTATTAGATCCTGATGTTTGCAAATTGGGGCTTCTATTTCTCATTTTTGGTCACATTCCGAACATTTTCTAAGCATCCCAACCTCTTGAATCCTCATTTAATTTGACTCATTGCAAAATCTGATAAAAAAATATATAATTATAATCAAAAAATGCATGCATCTGGGTGATTTCTCTTTTTTTGTATGGAAAAAATCCATTGCAGTAGAAAAAAGCTTTCCACAGAAGCAGTACTTGTATACATATTGCAAATATTTTGATATCAAATCTAGTGCATAAGCAGCATACCATCATTAAACTGGTTACTTTGATGATACATTTTTAAATGGAAATTTTGTCTATGATTCCCCTTAGAAACTCTTTTAGACCTCACAGAAAATAACAAACAATCCATTTGTTAAGTTTTGCAAAAGAAATAGATGTATTATTAGATAGAAAGAAATTATCATGATATTCAGGATGAAGAATAAAAGACATCAATAATAAAGGTGCACCCATATTTACCACCATTTTCCCAAGCAAATAGTCATTCCTGTACTTTAAATCTTGGTCAGGATATTCTTCCACATTTTGTAAAAATAAGCAAACAATGAAGTACATCAGATGTGCATTATCTGTTTGTAATTTATTGAGTGTGCCCATAAAGGAAGTAGGAGTTTATCTCCCTCCATCAAGCTTATTATTCATGGTACTTATTTATCATTCTCATCATTTTCTCTGATATATAATTATCATCATTTTCTTGAACATATGTATGATTATCATCATCAACATCAAATTCATTATGAAGCAAGCATCTAAAGAACATTAGAATTAATTTATATTAAACAACAACCTTTTATGATGTTTTTTTTTAAATACCTTTAAAGGGAATAGCAGTGATGACAAGAGTCACATGTAAGAAAAAGTGCAAAATATTATCATGTTTGACCTTTTGCTCATAGCACAACTTTTCCATAAAAAATAGGGAGAGGATGCAACAATCAAGCTTGGTACAATCAAATTTGTTGATGTGCAAAACAAAACCCCAAAAAACATCATGTTGTTCTGCTGCCAAACACTTCTACAAAATATAAAGTCAACATTATAAATAATTGAATAAAATTTATACTTAAAACATACCTTGTTGCTTGATTTGAATCATTAATCATAGTATGATTTAATTTTAAAGAAAATTCTTAATATTTTCTCACTGCAAACAATATCCACTTACATCACTTTCTCTGTGCAAGTTATTAAAACAGAACAAAAAATGCGTTATGTCGATCATCACAATATAATAGTAATAGCATCGCACACGTCGTCACTTGTTTTCAAAATACCCAAATACCCACCCACCGTACAATGGTCTTTTGTATTATTTATTTATTGGTTCTCAAAAAAACCCGCCTAAATAATATGCAGATAATAAATTTCACGCATTAATAATAATTTACGCGTTATTTTTGTATATCAATCAATATTAATTCCAAAAAAAACAAATTTACGCGAACTATTTGTAACACAACAAATTTCTTAAGCCACCCGATCCGAAGGACATAATCCAATAAAAAAAAAAATATTGCATACAAGTAGTATTTTTATCGTGATCTTTTTTATAGATAGAGAAATTAAAGAAAGAAAATTTTTATTAATGCAAGGATAATAATTTATTGAAACAAATTTATCCTTTGATTACACTGCGTAATTTCCTATTTTATTAAATTTGTAAAAAAATCTGTTCCCAAAAAAAAAAACAAAAAAAAGGACATTTTCATTTAATTATTTAATTATGATTTGTTTATTTATTTATTTTGCATAAATGATAAGATAAAGATTGACGATTGTGTTCCCGCCTTCCTTTTAATTATTTTGTTTTGGACATGTTTACCGACAATTTTTTTTTACAGAAAAATTTTCATTATCCGTTTATTTGGAACAGTTGTAAAATGTTGCACGAAAATGTGCAGACCGAATATTAAAAATGCTGATTTTTCCTTCTCTTTTTTTTTTATAATTACTTTTTATCGAAAGATTTTTTGATTCCACTTTAATTTTCTTTTTTCCTGGAAAAAGAAAAAATACTTAAAAACACGTCCTTCGCGAAATGAATGAAAGTAGACGAAAGGAATATTGTGGAATAATGTTGGTAGACATATCAACTGAGGATTATAAAAAATTTTCAGTAAATCTAAAAGTAGCAACGATATCTACCAATCTTTCAAATCTTTGAAAGCTGGTAGTACTACCTCTCTTGAAAGTAGTAGTATCAAATCTCAAAATAACTTTGTTATTACTTCATACGTAGAACCAATAAAATCAAACTTCTCGCCTTCTTCATCATTGCAGCAATTATCATCATCTACATCCATATCTTCCTCATCAGCATTTTCATCAGTATTTACATCAACAGATAATTCCAACGGCAACAACAACAACAAGGATAACTATAATATCATTAATGAATCCAACGGATTGATTATACAAAATAAGCTGAAAAAAGTTCCAAGACCTCCTAATGCATTCATTCTTTATAGAAAAGATAAACATCCGGCAGTTAAGCAGATTTTTGGAAGTATTCCTAATGCGGAAATGTCAAAAATACTAGCAGACTGAACAACTCGATGTTAAAATCGAATACCAGAAAATGGCTAATCAAAAAAAAATGGAGCATTTAAACAATAATCCCAGATATGTTTACTCTCCAAAAAGAACTCCAAAAAAATCAAGATTAAAATAAAACCAATCAAAAATCAAAACTTGAAAAGAAAATTGTGTCGTCATCGAGATTGTTATCATCACCATTGTCATCATTTCCGTCATCGTGTACATCTTATTTTCCTAAGGTTGATGACAATAATTATAGCAATATCAATGACAATTATGGTGTCTATATGAATAAAATCGTCAACATTGACTTCACTTTATCAAATTTAACTATCGACAACCAATTTTTTAATTTCGATCAACAAATTAATGAATTTGATAAAATTTATCATTAGCAATAATCATTCATTTAATAATAATAATAGTAATAATAGCAATAATAGTCATAGCTTTAATGATAGTAATAGTTTTAATGGTAATATTATTTAATATTATTCCTTTTATGCAAAATGCTTGTCAGCTAATCTTGATTTAACCCCAAGGTAATCGAGAGTCAAAAGCAAATTAATTTTGAGCGTAGCTTAGAGTTTACGCTTAACGTTTATGATTGAGATCTTTCCGTGACATTTAAAGTAATTGTTGCAAACGTACGGATGACTTCAATCGGCCCAAGAAAAATAAAAGTAAAGAAGAAATTCTATAGGAATATTTGTTGCTTCGTAGAAAAGCTGTCTTTATTTATTGTAATTAGTTGTTAATTGTACCATAAAGTGTGCCTACAGATTCGCCAAGCTTTCTAGATAAAAGAAAGAGGTAGTAAGTATACTAAATTTGCAAAATAAATCAATTAATTGACAAGTTAGCTAAAAAGCTAACTCGAAACTCGACCATAAACGTTAAATAATCAAGGTTGACTAAAAAGCTGCCCTCGTGTTATTTACAAACAAAATTTATATTAATGTCCGGGACATTTAAAGTGGCGGACACATACACGGATAACACTGCTCGTAATATCATACACCATTTAACAAGAATCAGAAAACTATAAAAGGTTTATTACTTCAAAAATAAAAAAAGATATATAATTATAATGAATAAATTTCATCGATCTTTTCTTTTAATATTATTACTAGAATCTAATGTTTATTAATCAGTCAAATAAGTATTGTTAGTAATAATTAATGGATATTAATTTCCGTTTTATTCATCTTTGTTAACATT